AAAGTGATTGTCCGTGTTTGTGTCAGATTACAGAAGGGGGGGTGTCTGACTCTCTGAGGGAGGCGTTATAGAGTTTAATGACCACAGGCAGGAATGATTTACTATATATCAATAGAGTCCTGATGTCCCATGAAACACCTGAAGTCAAACTGCAGACTCATATTTGATAAGATGTAGTCTCACTAATCACCGTCTGATAAGAGTTAGTTATTCAATAACGTGAAGAGTGAAACCTATGAACTGAATAGTCATTGTACATTCTGTCTTTGGGCTTTTAGTCAATGAAATAACAGTAATTCAAATATCCTGTATCTCTCTGGGGACCCCCTGGAACAACCTTAAGGTTCCTCAAAGGGTCCCTGGACCACAGGTTAACAACCACTGGTTTAAAAAAGAGTTTGTGTGTCTGAGAAGCGACACTAACTAAAAATCCCTCCACTAGTATTTTATGAATATTTTGTGACACCGATAAGAATATAAATATATCACCTCTGAGGTACTTTACTTTCCTCGATTACTTTCAGTTTATAAAATACTCAAAATCCCTCATCACTACATTTCTGAGATAACTATTATTATTACTTTTATATCCACCACATCTGACAGCTATAATTACTTTTTAAACAAAGACATACAATGACTTCATACAAAATATATTATTATAGATTAACAGAAGCTCTCCCTACAGGCCAGCTGCAACACTACAATGCTGCTCACATGTTAATGCATCAGTAATTATATTAATTTATTATATTAACTTATTATATTAACTTATTATATTAACTCATTATATGTACAATAAAAAGACACTGTAGAGTATTTTCTATATAATAGTACTGCAAACAATTCAGTCCCCTGATGTCCAATTTACACACTTTTATCCTGTTTGTTGAAGCTTTACAGATAAAAGCCTTCAACCTCAATATATGATATATATGATAAATATGTATTTAAATAATAAATGTGTAACTGCATTATAAGTATTATACTTGAGTACTTTTACTCGAGTATTTCCACCTGCACTGCACTATACAGAAAGTGCAGGTGGAAATGAAAAGGAACCAGTGCGCCGAAAGTTGTGTTTGTGGTCAGTGTTAATGTTGGAGCATCCAGAGGGCACTTTATAATGTTTTATATATACCATAAGGGCTCCACTGGGGCACTTTATATGTATTATTACCATAGGGGCAATCCACTGGGCACTTTAATGTTTTTATATACCATCAGGGGCATCCACTGGGCACTTTATAATGTTTTATATACCATAGGGGCATCCACTGGGGCACCTTTTGTTCGTTTTTTCGAGGGGGCAATTGCAATGTGACAGAAATATTGTACTTTTCATGCCGCTACATTTATTTTACATCTACATACATTCACATTATATGTATAATATAATATCAATTTGTATAATATAAGATACACTTTTACAGATTAAACTGTAAAACAGCAGATGAAGTCATTACCATTATAATAGCCACATTCTGCTTAATGAGTGACTGTGCATTAAGTCTGTGCTTAATGCAAACTGTTGCAGGGGTTTTACTTGTAATGGAGTATTTGCGTTGTTGCACCATTATTGTGCAATAGTACCCCAGTGTAACTCCGCTGTATGAGTATGTGCGTGTGTCTGGGCGGTCCTCCTGAGCTCTGAGTGGTGCTGTCTCGCCTCTGCCCTCCTGTAAAAAACTGCCTTCCATTGCATTTCTCCACCAGCGGACTAACCAGGCCCCTCGCAGCCGCTACACGGTGGCCCCGAGCCGGGCCTGATTCCCACCACAGACCCGGCAGGTGTGACGGTGGTGGTACACCGGAGGACGGCGGGCAACGTTGCCCCCTCTGGGTGCTGGATTTACGGACTGCTGTGCGGGAAAAGCTCGGGGATGTGGAGGAAATCCTAATCAAAGTGCGACACACACACAAGCCCATGCACATGATAAACGGGCCTGCCTTGCATTGCAACTTTTGCCTTTCTGCCTCCCTGCAGGGGTAAAGGCGGATAATCAGGAGGTGAGGCTGGTGAAATTATTGTCTGGGGGAGGGTGACGCGCACTTCACTACAGCCCCTGCGCTGTCAGACGAGGAAGTGAGGCTTCATACACGCCCATTTACAGCCTGTCGACCCTGCTCAAAAAGCCTAGACCCGCTCATCAGATAACAGCAACAGACTTTATAAACATGCGGTCACTCTCGGATGGACGGTACCGGGAATAAGCTGCAGGACGACGCCGATCTCAGCGGGTAGGTGACCGGAGAGCTTTACGCATAACGTGGACATGACAATCTCCCCAAATGTTATTATCGTGAGACTTCTCCACTGTGAAGGCCTGTCTCCATCTTTTTTTTTTTTTGTGATAGTCACATGCATGATCTCTGGCCTAACTGTCACCGACATGCTTTGTGACTCACACAGTGAGTGTCACCGCACTTGTCCTGCGAGAATAAAAGTGAGACTGCCACTGCACAGTTAACAGGCTGCGGGGCCAGATGTAAGCATCTGTGCGTGAGAGTGGCACCTGCTTTCGTGGTGATGTTGCGTGGATTTAGTTCAGGCTGCAGACTGAGCCCCACATTTAAATCATAAAACCCGCTTTTGATTCGATTTTAACGCAGATTTTTGCACCAATCTTTAAAATGTGGCAGCCTCACTGTTGAGATAAGTTGGAGTGGGTTACACTGTAGTGGTGGTAGGATAATGCTCATTTAGCATGGGGGGACCTCCGGGAGCCACACTGAGACCCCCAAACTCCTTTTATGTTGGACAGAATCTACAAACCTCCATTCTTGAGCTGAGACAGCTGGTTGATTGTTTGATTTTGTGATGCACATAAATCATTTAGCAACAACTTTGCTGATAAATAGTTGATTGACTGGTTCCACCTTGTTGAATGCGAGGATTTGCTCATTCTCTTCATCTTTAGTGATAGTGAACTGAATATTTTTGGGGTTTAGATCGTTGTGACTTGTGATTGCTCTCATTGTATTGATCAAACCAGACCACAATTGATTAATTGCAAAGCCTTAGATTCATAGATAATGAAAATAATAATAAGTTGCAGAAATAGTATAAAATTCACTACTTAACATTAATAATATATTTTTTAAAGCATATAGTTATATAAATAATTTGTAACATCACTAGTGAGCACCACACATATATGTTACATCCATAAGAGGTATTATAAATATATTATAGTGATACTAGAAGATAAAGGTTTTGTAGGGGGACCTCCTGGAGCCCCACTGTGGTTCCACATGTCCCAAAACTCTTCCTCTGAGTGAACTGAGTGCTTAAGTTACAATAACTTCTAACTTGACTCTGCAGCTCTATTTATTGTCTCCAAAGAGAAAATGTGTTTCCACAGAGTTTAATGGCAGCTGAACAACAAAAAAGTGCTACTTCAGGGAAATTAAAGACGTCTTCAGCTGTGTGATGAGGTCTGCATTTAACACTTTGTTTGTTGATGATTCAGAAACACAGACAAAAGCCGAGTGCGTTGAATGAATGATATAAAAATGAGCTTGTGAATATGAAAACAAAACAAACACTACGGTTGAAAAACTGTGTTTTCAGTTCCTAATTCCCTCCTACTGTCTACCTGTGACTTCCCTATGTGGGGTATGTGACTGTGATTACCTCCTTGTGCCCTCAGGTGATGTAACAACGGCAGTATTTACACTCAACACACACACATACATATATAGCACACATCGAACCTGGCTGTGTGCCTCCAGAACACGTTCATACATTAACTAATAGCTGGAACCAAATCACTGTTTTCAAAGTAAGTCTCAAGTCAAGTGTCAAGTTTATATGGAAGGTCTACTAGAACAGTTTTACATACTTTAATGTTCAAACACACATTTGCCTCATGCTGTGCATTGCTTCCTCGAACTTTAAGGTGATGTATCGTCATGTTCTGGGTGAACATCCAGTCGGGGCTCTTCAGTAGATGCAACAGATTGCCATGTCACTCTTTTTAAATAAAATACTTGTTCATCTTTGGGCTTGGTCAAGGGTGTCAAATATTTTCAAGTCAAAAGTCCCAAGTCCATGAAGTAAAGACACTAGTCATTGGTGTTAAGGTTGAGTCTGACTCTAGTGACCAACAGTCAAAAACCCCCAAAGATATTCAGTCGACTGTCACATTAGATAAAGAAGAGCAGCACATCTGAGGAGCTGGAACGGAGGAATGTTTGGTGTTTTTGTTTGAAAAGTGACTGAACGAATAATCAATCATATTTATTCATTAGGTCGTTTAATTAATCAGCAAATCATTTCAGCTTTAAACCCGAGACAGTAGTAGCCTGAATCTGCGAATGAAACGTGAGCTCAAAGGATCATCTGGCTCCCAGGCCGAGACAATGGCACTCCAAAAACACAAATCCTGATTTATGTGTGACAGTTTAACACGAGCTGTGAACCCAACCATATACAGAGTACAAGGGTGACTTAAAGTAGCCTATCACAGTACAAAACCAAAACAGGGACAAATATTAAGTTAAAGTTCTCAGACACTGTACCTGAGTTCAGGCATAGAGCAGTTTTACTAGTTTACTCAGAACATTTCCAGCTAACAAATCTTTTCTGCTTTAATTCCTACAGATAGAACGTGTATATAATATATATAATATTAATATAATAATAATAAGTACTCTAAAAAGGATTTATAAAATGGAAATGTTGTATTCAGTTGGTGTGATTGGATGTTATAGTGCAACATATAAGATGTTTTTTTTTTAGTGGTTTATTCTACTGAATACAAAAAATATTATAATGTCATCATGCATCTAAAGAAGGTTTTGATTACTACATGGTTTCAGGGAGGCCAACAGCTTTAACATTTCTTCCTTTTCAAAACAAACTATGTTAGTTAGATAAAGTTAAATAGTTGTATAAACACTATAAAGTCAAAGTATTTAAGTGTTTGAAGAGATATAAACAAATGTTTTATTGCACAAGTAAGAAACATATTGTCGCAAATTGTTGTGTGGCATTTTGTCCTGTTAAAGAAAGTTTTGTAATTGTAGTGTTATAAAGTTATAACTGTTAATAAGAAGTGTACGCAGATAATAGGGCTCCCTTCTCAACGTTACACAACTTGTCCCAACTGTAGCGTTCATACGGGAAATTAAACTTGGTCTATGGTTCATCCATTATATAGCCCAGTGATAGTTAGTTCAGCACCACCTCCAAACGAGAGTATTTCTTTTTTTATTTCAGTTTTGCAGTTATAGAGACATATACAACTCACATGCACAAACATAGTGAACTCACATAAACATTAACCCACCCTCTGTCCCTTCCTACCTCCCCTGGGACCAAGAGCACACAACAAACAAACAAAAAAAGGCAGATTACCAAACAAAAATACATAAAGTAATACCATAAAATAGAAAAATAAGTGTAATACAGGTAGTAGATAGATTAAGAAAATAAGTAAAATGCAATTAGTTGAGGGTTATGGTAGCAGTAAGCTAAATAGGACAACATCAGTCAGGTAGCATCATAGAGTCAGTTCCTTTACATATTAAATAAACCTGAATAAACTCATCACAGGACCCACTCAGCAAGGACAACACCTCCTGTATCCATCTCTCGAAAGGAGGGGTGTTGATGTTGATTAAAGAAGAAGAGGAGAAGCTTGTTTTAAGGACTAACTGTCACAGCTCTGAAATAAATTATAGTAATACTAGAAGATAAATACCACAAACTCACACTCAATCTCCAATTCAGATGGCTGTAGTGACAGATGAAAAGTAACCTACCATCATTATAAACTCGGTAATGAGCCCCACATGCACACTCTAAGTCCCTGAAGGAGGAGTTTTTCAGTTGTCTTTGCAGCGGCGGCTCACATGAACTGCTGCCATGGCTCGAATCCAAAACACTGGGCTGAAGTTGATAGTAACGGTGTCGTGTGTCAGTCAGTCTGCCAGTGAGGGTACGGTCAGCGGCGTGGAAAGTTTTACCTTTAACAGCAGTGACAGCTGTGATAGATGGAGGATCCGCCTTATTATCATGTCCCTCAAAACCAACCGGGGGGACACATTTAATCCATCGCTGTCTACCAGACGCACGTGTAAAAAAACTAATATTGGTTTTATCTTTGTGTGTGGACCCGACATTCAGACAGTATTTGTTTTAGTTATATCTAAGGATGTCTGGTTATGTAAGATAATATTTGTTAGTCTTATGCTCCCGCCTCTAACATAGCCATTGTCCTGAATCCTGTATTTTAGAAAGGCCCCCACCCAAAAAAGTCTCCAAGTGCGACTAACTAAACCATCTCTTTGTCTCTATTTTCTCAATAATCAGTACCAGATTACATAGTTCTGTACAGACTCTTAAAATAAGAGTGTTACTGATTTATTCATGGTGAATAGTGGTGTGAGAACAGTGGGCACAATTTACTGAATAAATAACCCTAACACATCTACAACTGACTATTAAATAGAGTTCCTGTTTGTCTCACCGTGCTATAGAAAGCAACATAACTGAAGACATTTGGTGATGTCATTAAAAGCGATGAAGAAGAGGTCTGCCCCCTGCTGTTTATCTGGGTTTTTTTTTTTACACAGAACCAAACAAGATGTACAAGATGTTTGGAAAAGGGCAGTTAGATGAACCATCAGTTTATCACCTTCTATCACAGGCAGACTTCAACCAATCAAACACACCATATAACGTAGCCAAACAGTTGGTGGAAGTGTGCTTGTCGTCACACACACCTAGCACTCAACCATGCCTTCAGCATGCAGCTCTTCTCCTAGACCTTCTTTTAACATACATGTCTTTTAGCTGCTGTTGCTCTCCAGTATCTCCTGAGGGAAATATCTGTCTCTTTAGTTGCTAAATGCTTCAGTATGTTCAC